ACCCCCACCCCTACCCAAACCTTCTTTTAAAAAAACCCCCCCCCCCCCCCAAAAAAAAAAAAAAACCAGTGCAAGGGCATCTCCTGTCTTTACATGGAGAAAGGCTCCAATCCTTTGCTTTTTTTCGGTCTGGCCCAGATAAACCCACGTGGATCCTCTAGGAAGGTCACCCCCTTTTCTCTTCGCAGACAGAGGAGGGGGGTCGCTTTTCTTAGCCCCCCCCTTTCCAAGACCCTTCCCCCAGTCCAGCCCCCACCAATGCAGATGTGTCAAGCACTGGGAAAGCTGGGTTAACGGGGGAAGGGGCTCTCCCAGTTCAATGTGGGGCATGGCCTTTGGAGAGGGAGCGAGGAAGAAAGGAAGGGGCGCCCGGCTCCCCCAAGGACTCCCCGCTTGGGCTGCGTCCCCCCCACACCGCCACCTTTCCCCACATACCAAGTCCCCCCCCCTCATTTCAAGCTCACCTGCTCGCCCGAGAAGACAGCCGCAGCCCCGCCCGGAACCTCCAAGAGGGGACTCGAAGGGGAAAAAATCAGCGGGACACCTTAGCTGCGGAAACAGGAAGTGGGTGATTGCCCTCCCTTCTCTTCCTCCTGAGTGGCTCTCTAGGACTCGCTGGAAGATTAAATTAACCCTTGAAGGTTAAAACCGAACTTGGAAGAGGCGAGTCAGAAGCCTGATGGACTTCAATGTCGCTGGGTTTTTACCCTGATGTAAAATACTAACCCGTGACATGAGCTTTCCAGGGAGAGGTGATGCAATTTTAAAACTCAGTTTGCTTTTAATTCAGCCTTTTCACATAACAGCATCATCATACAAATGCAGAGCAGGAAGGGATACTGTGGATTGATTGATTGATTGGATTTTTACCCTGCCCCTCTAGACAACGTCTAATCAGGGCGGATAATCTAGACCAGTGGTCCTCAACCTTGGGCCTCCAGATGTTCTTGGACTACAACTCCCAGAAGCCTTCACCATCACTTCTGCTGGCCAGGATTTCTGGGAGTTGAAGTCCAAGAACATCTGGAAGCCCAAGGTTGGGGACCATTGATCTAGACCAACCCCTTTCAAGGAGTCATGGTGGGGGAATCGAACTCCCAGCCTCTGGCTCCAGAGACCTTAAATCACTGAGCTGTGAAGTAGCTCACCCAGGGTGATGCAGGTGATAAAGAACAGGTTTAAAATCCCTCTTTAGCCACAGAAACTCAATGAGGCAGTGGAACTGATTGGTCCTGATTTGACAACATATAATAACAACATCCAGTGGTTTGTTGTTTTCTCTCGTATACACTGACTGAGTCCCCTGAGACCTGGGTAAGTGGAGGAAACACACTTTATTGTTCATTGTGTTGGAAGGTTCCTTGAGCCATGTGATCGCAAGGCAAGGAAAGAAGTCCAACATTTTATTGAGTCCAACATTTTTTTATATATTTCTCTTTTTTTCATGGCTGTTTCTTGGAGGTTGCTCAAAAGCAACTGCAAAGGTATTGTGGGCGGAGAGAAATTCACATTTGGATATCTTTTGCTATCCTCAAAATGGTTGGAGGAAAAGCCAGGAGGTAGAGAAGAAACACCGGCGGGACAAGGCTGTATATTGTCTCCCTGCTTATTTAACTTATATGCCGAATACATCATGCAAAAGGCTGGACTGGAGGAATTAAGATTGCCAGAAGAAATATCAACAACCTCCGATATGCAGATGATACCACTCTGATGGCAGAAAGTGAGGTGGAATTAAAGAACCTTTTAATGAGGGTGAAAGAGGAGAGCACCAAAAATGGTTTGAACCTCAACATCAAAAAAAACTAAGATCATGGCCACTGGTCCCATCACCTCCTGGCAAATAGAAGGGGAAGATATGGAGGCAGTGACAGATTTTACTTTTTTGGGCTCCATGATCATTGCAGATGGGGACGGCAGTCACGAAATTAAAAGATATATGTATCTTGGGAGGAAAGCAATGACAAACATCAACAGCATCTTAAAAAGCAGAGACATCACCTTGCCGACAAAGGTCCGAAAAGTCAAAGCTATGGTTTTTCCAGTAGTGATGTAATGAAGTGAGAGCTGGACCATTAAGAAAGCTGACCGCCGAAGAATTGATGATCAAAGCTATCCATTCCGAAGGAAATCAACCCTGAATGCTCACTGGATCCTGAAGCTGAGGCTCCAATACACGGAACACTGTTCCCTTCCCACCGAGGTGGTCCCTATTAATCTACTCGGTCCTAGAGAGATGTAAAATGAGAGGGTTTGTGTATTTAAAAGGGAGATTTGGTAAATGCTGTGGAATGTGAGACCTAAAGGCTTGTTTTTCTTTTAAAGAAGAAGGGGGTGGGGAATAGCTCAGTTTCTGTGTGTGTGTGTTGTGTTTAGTCGTTTAGTCGTGTCCGACTCTTCGTGACCCCATGGACCAGAGCACGCCAGGCCCTCCTGTCTTCTACTGCCTCCCGGAGTTGTGTCAGGTTCATGTTGGTTGCTTCGCAGACACTGTCCAGCCATCTCATCCTCGGTCGTCCCCTTCTCCTCTTGCCATCACACCTTCCTAACATCAAGGTTTTTTCCAAGGACTCTTTTCTTCTCATGAGATGGCCAAAGTACTGGAGCCTCAGCTTCAGAATCTGTCCTTCAAGTGAGCATTCAGGGTTGATTTCCTTTAGAACTGATAGGTTTGTTCTCATTGCAGTCCAGGGGATTCTCAAGAGCCTCCTCCAGCACCACAATTCAAAGGCATCAATTCTTCGGCGGTCTGCTTTCTTTATGGTCCAGCTCTCACTTCCATACATCACGACAGGAAAAACCATAGCTTTGACTATTCGGACTTTTGTTGGCAAGGTGATGTCTCTGCTTTTCAAGATGCTGTCAAGATTTGTCATCGCTTTCCTCCCAAGAAGAAGGCGCCTTTTAATTTCAGGGCTGCTGTCTCCATCTGAAGTAATCATGGAGCCCAGGAAGATAAAATTTGACACTGCCTCCATATCTTCCCCTTCTATTTCCCAGGAGGTGATGGGACCAGTGGCCATGATCTTAGTTTTTTTGATGTTGAGTTTCAGACCATTTTTTGCACTCTCCTCTTTCACTCTCATTACAAGGTTCTTTAATTCCTCCTCACTTTCTGCCATCAGAGTGGTATCATCTGCATATCGGAGGTTGTTGATATTTCTTCCGGCAATCATACCACTCTGATGGCAGAAAGTGAGGTGGAATTAAAGAACCTCTTAATGAGGGTGAAAGAGGAGAGCACCAAAAATGGTTTGAACCTCAACATCAAAAAAACTAACTTCATGGCCACTGGTCCCATCACCTCCTGGCAAATAGAAGGGGAAGATATGGAGGCAGTGACAGATTTTACTTTTTTGGGCTCCATTATCATTGCAGATGGGGACGGCAGTCACGAAATTAAAAGATATATGTATCTTGGGAGGAAAGCAATGACAAACATCAACAGCATCTTAAAAAGCAGAGACATCACCTTGCCGACAAAGGTCCGAAAAGTCAAAGCTATGGTTTTTCCAGTAGTGATGTAATGAAGTGAGAGCTGGACCATAAAGAAAGCTGCCCGCCGAAGAATTGATGATCAAAGCTATCCGTTTCGAAGGAAATCAACCCTGAATGCTCAGCCTACCTTGTAGGATTTTGAGCATAAGCTCAGTTTCTAGATGCCAACATGTGGGGACATAGAGCAAAGATGATGACCTAGCTGTTTTTATTTTAATTAGAAATTGTAAGGTTATTTAAATGCTGTAACAGATGGATATGCTCGATGCTTGTGCTTTAAAGCTAAAACAGTACTGTATTCTAATGACTCTATTTTCTTAATAAAATGAATATAATTCTTAAACAGAGGCCTAGTCTCTTGATACATGAGGTCGATCTCCAATCCAGCGTAGATAGAAGACGGTCAACAGTGGCTACTGTTAATAGAGGGCTAACTGTCCTACTTTGCAAGGGTGGTGTGTATTCTAAGTAAACACTTAGCCTGGGTTTTGTTGCTTTGGAAGCAATCAAGATGAGTTACTTTTTAAGGTTCAGGCTTGTCTATGGGCCATGAACTATGCACTGCTGGGACTTAGAGGAGCTACATCAGGGAATAAAGGTACTAGTTTTGAGCCCAGAGGGACTCCCTGACCGCGATCTTTGTGTCTTTAGGGAGAGCGGCTCTTTACAGTTTCTTCCTCCTTACAGCAGGTCTTGAAGGAGCCGGGCCCCCTCTGCTCAGACCCCCCCCATGGAGCAGACCCACAGGCTCATGCGGTTTCTTAAACCTCCTGTGATGGGGTCCAGGTTTCATCTTGGACGGTTCCCCTTTTTTCCTGTTTAACAAAAGGGGTCAGTCGGTGCCCTCAATTCCCCCCCCCCGATTTTTCTGCAGTTCCTC